GGCAACCATTACACTGTTGTGCTGTGCAAAATCCTTGACCCATATGAAACTCCGCAAAGAAATGTCAAACCCTGGATCTTGAGAAGACTTTCATTTATCACAGAGCAAATTACATGAAAAATATGGTGTATGCAAAAATAGATTTGCTTTTTTAATTGCTTGGATGGAAAGGGCCATTGCCTTCTGTCCTAGGGGTGTTTAGAAGGAGTTAGAGGATGAACAGCAGGGATTTCAAAATGAAATAAATATTGATAGCAAACAGGAAGAAATATTTCAAAATTGTTTAGAATTGTAGCCGTTGTCTCTTTGAATGCATCAAGTCACATTCATTATTTATGCCATTTCACCCTTTAAAATGAAATAGTGAATTCTTACCTGGTGCATTTTTAAAAATTATTATTTTAATTGCTTATATATTGTCTTCTTTTATATGTTAGAAAACTAAAATATATAATTGTATTGCTTTGAGTGACTAATGTTTGTTTTGTGGATATTAGGAATTGTCTTGAAGTGCTAAAATGGCTGTGGTGGGAAGTTATTTTATATGCTAGTAGCATTTTAATTTTACCATTGGGATTTATACATTAAGATCTTAATGTGGAATTAATGCATGTATATATTTATATTTATATATATATATACCTTTCTTTCCTTCAATATACTTTATTAGCTTTATTGATGCAATAGAGAAAACTACGTGATTACTAATTTTTGATATGTGTGCGCAAGAGAGACTTCAGTGGTAACTTAGTATAGGTAAAGGTAAAGGTTCCCCTCACACATACGTGCTAGTATTCAGAATCATCCACAGTATTCAGAGTATTCATATGTGCTAGTATATGTGCTAGTATTCATACATGCTAGTATTCATCCACAGTGATCCTGCATTATGAATTTATTAAGAAAACATGTAAGCATCAGAATACTAATTTTTATTGACAATATAATTATTACTTTAGTTAGGTCTTCCATTTCTGGGCTGCAAAATTCTGACCACTAGAGAGTGACAGAATTGGAGTTTTCCTTATTTGAAACTCCTTTTTCTTTGTTTCCATGTCTCATATCTCTACCATTTTTTGTTCTTTTTCTTTTGTGCTGTTTTTTTGTCCTTAAACATTTATTAACAATCTGAACACTGCCAAGAATTGTTGGAAGTTGGGTAGTATTTTAATCCTTCTTACTATTATTATTTCATTGCTGCTGTTTAGCAGATTTTGATAATTCAGACCTGGTTGTCCTAACCATGTTCTTTCTCACTTGCTTTCCTTCTTAGGAGTTCTAGGAAGTAGATATTACACTAGATCAGCAGTGGACAAATAATTTCCCCAAAGGTTCATATGAGAAATTTAGGTTGCTGTGCAGGACCAAACCAATAGACTGAATTTCATTCTGCTAATATTAATTTTATCATTTCATAAAAAGCAGTAAATTTTATGGGTTTTGATTAGCTGCAACATTTAAAAATACATGTTATATCTTATTTACATTTGATTTCTAATTTCCAATTGACCTCACACAGACTGAAGAAGGACAGCCAAAGGGGCCAGATGTGGCTCAGAGGCTGTAAAAATGAAACAACTATGTATGGTAGCTTGGGCTGAAAGACTGAGACAGTCTAACCACTAGTCACCTGTGAGTTTCCATGGTTAAAGAAGAGCTAGAATGTTGTTCTCACCAGTGCTAATCCATGATTGCAACCATTACCATTACCAGACCCCTGGGCTGTGAATGACTACCAGGCCATGGTCCATTCAGAACTGCTCCATAGAAGTGATGGGCAAGCATGTGCGCAGCTTCATTTGTGTGATTAATGGGCACATGTGCCTGCTGCTTGTGCAAATGGAACTGTGCACACAAGCACACTTGTCCACTGCTCATGTAGAATCACCCCTCCCCCTGCCAGTCTGCAAAGTCAGAAAGGTTGGAGACCGTTGCCTTACACTGACAAGCCAAATCACTAAATATGTATCTTTTGTAAAGTTATGAAAATGATAGTTAGAGAAAATAAGAGAAGGCAATAATCATTCCCAGAATTCCAAATAAAATCAATATAGTTACTCTAGTTAAACAAGTTATTTATAAAATCCTTCAATAAATGTTTGGACTTTATGCATTTTGCTTGCTAACTAAGATAGTATGCCAACATAACAACATGCTGTAAGTTTGAATGCCAATTTATAAATTATCTTTCCCTGCTATTCCTTTTCCCTCACATTGCCTATCTCCTCCAGCACTTGAGTTAATCCAATTTATATGTTAACCTATATAAAATTAATTTAGCTGTGTAAACTTCCTAGTTTTATTTAAGACATGGCAATTCTGACAGAAAAAAATTGTGATTAGTAATTTGTCTGTTGCAAAAAATGAATGCTTGTCCAAAGAAGCAAATATAATCATGTATAAGTTTATTCTACTTACCTTGTTAGATAGAAACAAGTGTTGGGTATATCAGGGGACCATAAGAACAAACTCAGTGTCTTGCTGGATTGGCCCCCCTGGCCTCTGTATTCCAATAGTCTTATCTCACAGGGGCCAACCAATTGTACAGAGAAGCTATCTAGATAATCAGAATCTTAGGCAACAATGGCTTTGTTGTATACACTAATCAGCATACATTAAAATGAAATTTCATTGCATACAGCTTTCAAAGGGTGTCCACCTCCAATATACACTACATAAATATGACAAAATGAATAAATAAATACAAAATTATGCATATACCCACATATGTTATATAACATGGAGAAACAATACCACCTAGTTCATATGTACACATGTACATGGCGAGAAAAACTAATTTTATGAGTTTACCAGATGGATGGCAGAGGAAACAAAACTATTACAGAATCTGGTAGTCCTGCTAGAGGCAGCCACACTGTCAAGAGGGCTAGAAGCCTTTGGTTCCATGTCTTTCATAGCCATTGTTCCTCGTCACTAAGATGATAACTATTTTAAAAGCATGTTGTGCTATTGACAAGAAAGCATAGTGTCAGAAATTATGTGTATTTGAAGGAATGTGGATTGAATACTAAAGTGTGTAACCAGAATGAAACGTTTATTAATTTATTAGATTCATGCAACTGTCTGTAGTATCTAATGTTGGGTTGTGAACAACCATATTGTAGAAAAAATAAATCAATAAATGAAAACAAATTTAGTTGCTTCATAAGAGAAAATGAATTAGGATCAAATCACACAATTAATACATGAAGTATAAATGCATAAGAAGAAAGGGGAAGATTTTAAAAAATCATGGTTGGAATAGCTCAGTGTTAGCCTGCTCCCAGAAGGAGAGGCGCAAATTTTAGAGGATAAAGGGAAGAGTCATGTAGATTTCTGAAAGCAAGGATGATTTACAACAATGTAAAAATATATAGAGAGGTATGGTGAATAGAATCAATACAAACTGTTTAGCTATATTCCTTTTGTTTCCCTTCACCTCTTGAATTTTGCTCTTACTATTTCTTATTCATTTTCTGTGCTTACTGTGAAAGAGAATAGCATGTTGGGTATGGGTGTGTGTAGGTGGCAGGATTAGTAATCATATTTGCATGGGATGGGGAAGTAGCAATGGTAAAATTACCATTGATGAACAGGATTTGTATACAAAAGCATTGCACAAATGTCCTTATTTACCCGATTGGGCTGAGAATTAATTCACTCTGAAATTCTGGACATTCCCCTTTCAATTAAAGCGGCCTATGAGTAGCATTACTTGAGCCTAAAGTGGCTGACCTTGTAAGTTTCCACTTTTCTTTTCCCATTTATCATTTTCTAACTCCCAGCTTCTAGTTCCTTAGCAACACAGATCATCCTTTCCACTGTGTGACAGTTTGCAAGTTGTGTATTCTCTCCAGCCAGGGACGGGGTGAGCATCCAAGAACTGAATATGAGAAGAATAGCACTGCTACATAGGTTACACACTGTAGCATTGGAAAGATAAATGATTAAAAACCTGATTACGCTTGCCACCTAGAAGCCTTTAGACTTAGAATTTGAATGGACAAGTATAAAGAAATATGGGTTGTTTATGCAAAATACAATAGGTGAAAAAGAATGTTAGTAACATGAGTAAATTAGAAATAAATATATATGCATTTGAATAATATTTACATTAGATAAATATATACACAGAACTGTAAGGACTGTTATAAAGAGATACTTTTTTCATCTTTTAAATATATTTTTGCATTGTGTTTTCTTTGTGAATATATTCATTTACACCATAATTTTATTTGTGTTTTGGCATTTTCTGTTGCTATTTAATTTAAAATAATAAAAAACAAACAATAGGTTTCATCTCAAAAACAGATTTTTATCAAATATGGTTGCACTCCTTTTGGGTTTCTGTAAATGTCAACAGTGCACTTTTAAAAATAAATCTATGTTAAATATTCAAACTAAAATTGCCTTCAGTACTTCCTTCACAGTAATAGTGTATACATTTCCTGCTTTTTCTGCAATCAGATCACTCACAACAATTTACCCTTTTGTTTTTTCAAAGTAGTAATAATTTAAAATATTGTAGAAGTATTTCTTAAAGCACAGTTTATTCTTTAGTTTATTCTTTGGTAAGTGTAAAAAGTTTCACTTAGCTCCATAAATAATGTACATATTACTACACTAAGTATATATATAATATGTATATCTTTCCACAATGTATCTCTCCGTTTTGCTTTTACCAACAAAGATTAATTGTTTCTGCTTTATTTATGAAGTAAAAAAAGGCAGTAATTCAAAATTGCTGGGTCTTCTGAAGAAAACATATGTCTAGGTACTATCTGTTTAACAAGGGGACCATTATGCTTATTAAGGAACAAATTATTCAGCTATAATGTGTCCTGCAGTGACAATATTCCACAACTTGTTTTTAAATACTTTGTTCTAAGTAAAATATATATAAACTGATTCATGAAAATTTGGAATGATTATAAAATTAAGAAGTTAAACAACCGAGAAGTAAAATTTAAACACTTTATTGATATTGTGTTTTTTTACAGGAAGATCTCAAGTTTAAATACATTAACAATAAAAAACAAATGGAATGGAGACACAAAAAGGTAGCCAAGAAGTGATTTCCACTGGGAACACCCTTATCCAGCTCATCTTTCCCTAGTCTAATATCCATGAAATGGGTTGGGTAACTTAACCAAGACAGGATGGATAGGGTGTTTGGAGCATGACTGAGAAATGCAGGATGAGGGGAGGGAAGTAGTTTATACATAGTATCAAAATATTAAAGTTCCAATAAATTATGGAAATAAAATGTTTATATAATAGCAATAGCACTTAGGCTTATACCGCTCCATAGTACAGCATTCTCTGAGTGGTTTACAATGTTAGCATATTGCTGGTTCCTCATTTTAAAGATCTTGGAAGGATGAAAGGATGAATCAATCCCGAGCTGGTCAGGATTGAACGCTTGGCAGTAGGCAGAGTCAGTCTGCAATACTGCATTCTAACCATAATTAAAATGTTGCATAAGTTTGATATATGTAATTTGTTTAACAAATAAAAATATATATCTATTTAGTTTTCAGTACTACTTTTAAAGGAACTGTCTTTGAAAGAAACATTTAATACATCTGTCTCTTTAAAAAAGGCTATTAAAGAAATGCCCCCATTTCATACAGTGCAAGTGGGAGAAAAATGAGAGTTTTGGGAAAAAGTATATTTATGAATAAAAATGTGATTAATATTACTAGGGATTGGCTCACACTCCAAATATGTTTTTCCAAGTTCACAGAGAATTTTGAATAGAAGATGTTTACTAAACAGCAGAGAGTTGTTGAACACAAACCACTTGTTGCAATTCATTTTTGAAGCATCTCTCTCTCTCTCTCTCTCTCACACACACACACACACACACACACACGGGGGGGGGAAGGAGGGAGGAAGATAGAGAGAGAGAGAATAGATAGATGTAAGGAATGAATAATGATTAGAGCAACACATTTGATGTGGGTGTCCAGAATTCAAAAATTCAAATCCTAGCTAGTTCACGAGACATGAGACATGAACTAGCTATAGAATTATTCTATCAGTTCCAGGTTCTCCTGTCTTGTCCATGTATGGATTATTCCAGTAACTCAATCTAGAAGAGTCATGCTGACTTGGACATCACCCAAATTAACAAGGTTTGTATCAGTTGTTGAGGAACGAACGATCTATTAGATTGGAACAATCCATACATGGACAAGACAAGAGAACCTGGAACTGATAGAATGCTTCTACAACAACAGATATAATGAAAGCATAGCATTTGAGGGAACTATGGATGGACCTGTGTCCACATTAACTGAGAAACAGCTAGCTACCTGATGTTTCAACATAGTGAAGAGGAAGCTGCTAACTCAACTGGACCAACTACATTCCATATTCAAGAAGGTCAGGAAAAACAACTGTATGTACAGGCAACAGCTGAAGCTGGAACATCATTATCACCCTCTCCATTATAGAGCACAGCTGCTGATATGAGGCATAATAAGGATACACTAGTTACAGTCAGTCCCCAAGACAGATTCCAAGGCTCAGTAGAGAAGTACGATCAGATAATATGCTAGCAGATGCCAATAGAGCCCTACTTTGAGGGGTTCTTGGTGCTCTCTAAGCTTGCTTGTTTTCTTGCAGACGTTTCATTACCCTAACTAGTAACATCATCAATACTAGTCCTGAACTAGATAGACAGACAGACAGACAGACACTCTGAGCTTCCATCATAGTATTTTTTTTTCAATACTTAGTCAAATGGATAGAATTATTGAATGTCCATGAATGCACCGTGTTGTGATTTTTTTCCTCGATTTTCAAATATCACAATACAATTCACTATCTACTTAATAACTATTTTAGGTAATAAAATTAGAGCTAAAATAAATAACCTTTTTTTCCTCTCTTTACCAGGAAGTGATACTGCAAGAAACACTGTTTTATAATGGAATTCGCCCGGGCCTTGGCAAATGGCTCCATCCCCATTTTGAGGGACGAGCACTAAAAAAGCATCCAGCATGTCTACGTGTTAATTCTGCTTGATTTCTATAACTTAACATGCAGATTCCACAAATGATTTTCATTCGTCTCTCTGCCTCCATGCCCTTAAATATTTTGAGATTTCTTCCTTCTCCCATTCAGATCTTTCAGTCACTCAATATGCTGTCCTTTCTTTCTTTCAATATTTATTCCTCTGACTTATTTCTTCTGGTTGTGCATATTATATTTTTATTGTAGTTTTAAAAAGAATAAGAAATGTAAACATAATGCATTTAAAATATTTTAGCCTTTGTGATCATTTTGATGGGATAATTGTGAGACTTCTGAGTCACAGATAAAACCTGCCCATATGGCAATTAAGCTTAGAGCACAATAGCAAAAACAACAAGTAAGAGAAAATATTTAAATATTAATGCAGCAAAATAAAGTATATTAAATTAAAGAGGCATATTCCTTAATTTAAATGTTAATGTATGTGAAAAACAATGATAAATATACAATTGACTTGAAAGGTACATGCGTATGTTATCAATACCTCCTTTTTTATTTTTTTTCCTATCTTTGTTTTGTTTTGTCTTAATCTGCATCAGTCTCAGTTCTTCCTCCCCCTCCCCAAACTTTAAAATGACTACTTGATTATGTATATTTTGACTGTGTATTTTACCTTACATTAGTGTGTGCGTGTAGGTGTGTGTGTGTGTGTGTGTGCATACATGCATATGTATATTAATGTAAATGATTCCCCCTAATATCATTAAGGAAATGATCATTGGGTATAAAAGGATAGAAAATTTGATGCCTGTCAAACTTTCAGTGAATTTTTATTTGAACAAAATATGGCATTAAACTCTTAATGCATAAACTGCATTGCTATTCATTTAAATGTGTTGGAGGAACATATTTCTCCCCCATTTCTAAGCTAGGTTACCCAATTATTTGAGCAATCATTAGAAGGTTTTATTTATATGAGATTGAATTCAGATCATGTCACATATTTGGTTCAGCAGGAACGCGCACACACATACACAAAATACCCCACCAAAACATCAACTGCGTTTTTCTTACAGTCAAGTAAACTATATTTAAAATATCCAGCATTAGTTCCAAAATAATTCCTTTCTGACAGGCAATTTGATGTTCCTCAGATCTTTGAACTGTAATGCCTATAATACCAGCTCACAGCTACTTTGATTTGGCTTATAGAAATTGAAACCCAGAATGACTGAAGAACGCTCAATTCCTACTACAAAGAATATCACTGGGAAATAGATTTTGACTGGAACTAATATATTAACTCCAATCTGATGCCTAGATGATAGTGCTATGAGTCTATCATCTGTACCTCTATATCTGTCTGGTTTGGTTCTGCAACCCAACAGGATAGACACAGACTTCGAGGATAATTAGGACTGCAGAAAAAACAATTACTACCCACCTGCCTTCAATCGAGGACCTGTATACTGTATGAGTCAAAAAGAGGGCTGTGAAAATATTTACAGACCCCTCACATCCTGGACATAAACTGTTTCAACTCCTTCCCTCAAAACGACGCTATAGAACACTGCACTCCAGAACAACTAGACACAAAGACAGTTTTTTTCCCCCGAAAGCCATCACTCTGCTAAACAAATAATTGCCTCAACACCGTTCAACTTTTTACAAAGTGTGGACTACTATTACTGTTAATCTTCTCATCACTCCTTATCACCCATCCCCTCCCACTTGTGATTGTAGGACTGTAACTTTGTCGCTTGTATCCTTACAATTTATACTGACTGTTTCCTAGTATGATTTGATTGTTGATTGTACCCTATGACTATCATTAAGTATTGTACATTATGATTCTTGATTCTTAATGAATGTATCTTTTCTTTATACTGAGAGTGTTTACACCAAGGCAAATTTCTTGTGTATCCAATCACACTTGGCCAATAAAGTATTCTATTCTATTCTATTCTATTCTATTCTATTCTATTCTATTCTATTCTATTCTATTCTATTCTATTCTACTTTTTGTAATAGTACAGTATAATTGTCAGATCTGCCCTGACTTGATCTTTTAGGCAAGAAAGACCTTCAATTCCAGTTTTAATGAAAGGCATACTTTACTAAAAGCCAAGTGGTCTACAGGATAGCAAAGTTAGAACTGAAGTTTGAACATCAAACTTTCCTGGTTAAGTTTTCCCATCCAGTTCCTCTGCAGTTCCTCCTTCTTACTGGTCTCTTATTGTCCAATTATATTTAAATAAATTGTTTTGGGAATTGTCTCTTCAATGGTTGGCTGGTTGGTGAGCCATTGCATTCAACCGGCAGCGTTTTGACTTTGAGATGGTGTCTCTGGAAGGTACGATGAGTAGTTAGCCTTCCCCCCTCCTAACCACAATTGACGATTTCATTTGAACTTGTTCAAAGTTTGGAAGACATTAACTTGGAGATAACTTTATAAAATGAATGAATTAACTTATTCTTTACATAAAGTGCAAATATTTTAATGGAGATCTAATAAAGCCTTGTGAAGTACAAAAGAGAACAACAAAGTCATGAAATTTTTATTTTTGTATATGTTTTTGCATAAGATTTTTTGTGCACAAAGATGGAAAGATTTGGCATTTTCCACCATGGAATTATAGATGATGAAGCTTGCAGAGATGGCCAAATTGACTTCTTTTATCAGAGAAAAGACAGTATCTTCATTTATTGCTTCTTGACAAAAAACCCTTATGGACTCTCTGTGTAAAACAAAAAATGAACTTAAGATTTATTGCTTTGATGATTAGACAGGATAGATTATAGAAAGAAGAGAATCATGCTGTAACCTCAGAGCAAGAGGTCAATTTATCACAGTACTTATAACTGCTGTAAAGATTTAAAGCCACTTCTTTGTATCTTTTTCTTTTCTTTTTCTTTCTTCCTTACACATTTAGGTTTCCCTTTGATTTCTTTCTTTTCTTTTTTTACTTTACGTTAGTTGATTTTAAAACTTGTAATATTATTAATGTATGCTCTAGGCTATTTCACATGCTCTCATCTCGAGCAATGCATGGAAAATGAAAATATTTTATTTAAATTGAGTGTTCTGACTGCT